TTTTTAAAAAGCAAGAAAAAGAAAAGAAAGAAATGAGTACAATATATTTGATATGACAATAAAAAAAATATTATATTTTTTTTTATATACAATAAAATTAGTATTTATTTTAAATAAAATTATGAATCTAAATGTAATCATTAATATGATATAATTTTTTTTACTAAATCATGATAAATATATATATATACACCATATACCCCCCCCCCCCCCCCCCCACCAAAAAAAAAAAAAAAAATTGAATGATTGATTCCATTAATAAAATCCTATAAATCGTATTTGATTGTTGATAAATTTTACATCTGAATCTACACGTAATCCTTTTTAGGAAGCATGAATACAAATACGGATATGAATACGAAATACAAAATCGAAATGATATGGGTATAGTGTGATATGGAAAATTTCCAAAAAAATAAATCAAAAGGATACGAGAACAGTAAGATACAATAATAAAAGATTTTTTTTTTTTTTAATATATATACAATAAAATTAATTTTTTGTCAATCTTTTATAAAATTATGGATCTAAATGTAATCATATGTCTAAATATATATCTCAATACTTCTTTTTATAAAAAAATTTGAATTTTTCTTAACAATTATGCTATGATAATATGGAGAGTGCCCGGTCGGCACCACACCAGTGCTTGTCTCAGCCACCTCTTTTCTTCTGTTGTATGAAATGCCCCAAGTCTAATTCATGCAAATTTTTACATCAACAGATATATATATATATATGATAAAAACATTTAAGAAGTATCACACACATCCGGAAAAAATGCATTTCTATCTGGTATTTTTTTAAAAATTATATAATTTGTGTTTAGTGTTGATTTAAGGGAGAATAAAGTTGTAACAGAGAAGAAACAAATATACTGATAAGAAAATAAGAAGCAAGGAAGATAGTAAATGAAGAGAGACCGGACTCTTAATTTCTCACTTCGGTTGTCTATATTTTGCAATACATTACACTCCTTTATATAGAGACTTGAGTGTTTTTATCACCTAATGCACTGTACTCTACTCATTATACTATCTCGCACGCTATACATAAACCACTTCAATACATAATCTACTGAAAATACACATGTAGGATAAATGATGAAGTAGACCCACGATAATACAACATTTGTCTTGCTTCTATTATTTGTATGGAGTAGGGTTTGAGGCCAAAGGGCAAGCACTATCAGAGAGAGCCTATTATTGATCCGGTATCACACTTCGCTTCCATAGACTACAAATTATCTCCCAACAATTCAGAACAAACTATTTTACCCTTTTTAATTAAATTTGTTATTTTTTATTAAAATTTTTAATTATCTTTTCTCTTATCTAAATACCAGTATTAATTATACTACTTATTTTAATAAATAAAAAAATATTTGTAACTATTGTTTTCTAAAACGATTGACTACTTCTTAAAATTTTATTATTTATAATAAAACTTAATTATACTTCGTTTAAACTTTTGGATAAAGTACAGAAACACGAGGTTTGTAAAAGGACAAAGTTTGCTTAATTTGGGACAACCACACTCCTTTATGAAATTTGCCATCCAAACATGACATTAAAATATGTGAAAAGTCCATTTTACCCTTTACTATTTTATTAATTTTAATTATAAAATATCAAAATACTGAAATAGCCAAATTACCCTCAGCTCCGAATCAATCCTACGACCTGCAACCAGACCACCACATTTACTACTAGTACTAGTTTAACATCATCATCATCATCAAATACGAGTTCATCATCGTATGGATCTCAGTTTTCTTCAATTTTTACCTACTTTTTCCCAAATTCAACCAAACAAGACCACAACGTTACTTCTTTGCCACCCCCAACTAATACTTCCAGATCTCAAAACACTACATTACAATCACCCCCTTTGCCTACAGAACCATCAATTACCAAAAACCAGACTCGAGATAAAGTTGAAGTTTTGAAGCAAAACAAGAGAACAGTTGTGGCACCAACAACTCCGGTGACGGTGAATTCACCACCAAAGTTAAACCAGAGCACAATTGTGGCACCAAAAACTCCGGTGACGGCAAATCACACTGCGGATTCACTACCAAAGTCAGACCAAAACCCAATTGCTGCACCGAAAGCACCGGTGACAGGAAAATCAAACTGGGAATTCACCACTATTCGAATCATACATCTTCTTTGACAAAGAAACCGAATAATAGGACTAATTCGGGTGTGACTATGAAACAGAGGAATGATAATTTGGTTGATATTGCTCTCCGCCGTCACCCTCATCTGAGTCGCCGCCGATTCATCCACGGCCGAACCAGTCCGTCTCCATTGGCCTAGTTTTCCTTCTGATGAAAGAAGGCGAGAGATCGAGGAAAGAGATTGGTGAGGTTTACGGAAGTATAGAAGTGTCATTTAAGAATTTTAATATTTTATAATAAAATATTTAAGGGTAATATTGACATTTCACATCTTTTAAGGGATTATTTGAATCCATTTTTTGACGGTGTGTCATAGTTAAAAAAATGTTCAACTTATGTATGATTGTCGTTATGGCAAATCTTAGGAGGTGTCATTGTAATTAACTATATATATATATATATATATATATATATATATAATGACATTTGATTAGATTTTTTTATTTTTTATATTTTTTTAAATGTAGGGTAACAGAGTATTTTAAAAGATTGGGGAAAACAATCTTTTGATTTGATAGATTTTTGTATTAAATTATTATTAAATTAAATAAGAGTACGAAAAATATTTTACATTTTTAAAAGAAATTAAAATAATAAAAATTAAACACTTTACTTGTATGTAATTTACTCAAATTTAAAAAATGAGAAATGTGATTAACCCTTATTCTCCTTATTATTATTATTATTATTATTACTACGTATGAAAGAAGTTTGTGTGGCTGTTGAAATGCTCTCTCGTGCGTTAAATGGAATTCTAATTTTTATTTGTTTGTTTGTTACACTTTGGTGAGTTTCATAAACTTCCAAACAAATATAAATTGGTTGTCAGGTAGATGGTTAGTGCTTCCAGAAAACAAAGCTGCCAATAATGATAAATTAATGGCAGTCTAAACCCCAAAAGTCAGGTTAATAATTTATTAATTGGGCATGTTGCCAAATATATATATTTTTAATTTAATAAAGTTGTCTTTTTCGATAAATTTAGAAAATAAACTTTTAATAAACAAATTGCTTTCTTGTTTTGGAAAAGATTCAAACGGTTGTATATGGCTTTAGGATATGATATTCAAGAAGATTTGTTTGTATTTTTTTATTTTCCAATATCAAGTGTGTTGTGAGAATATATATATATATATATATATATATATATATATATCAAGGTGCTCACACCCTTTAGTAAGACTAATTGACTCGACATGCATGCATTTAACTATTGTCACCTGGAATATACTCTCACACACACACATTTCCTTCCCAGTTGTGGAACATGTATTTTTGGATTTTGGAAAGAAAAATTATATTGGCTACAATCTTAAAAAAAATAATAATAATAAAGAAAGAAATAAAAAAATTTGCTACACTGGTATGACAATTTGACGCCAAATGTACCATCTCCATATGGTTAACAGGAAGAGTGATGTTCTTTAGAAAAAAAATAAGTTTATTTTGAGAACAGATAAAGTATAAAACACGTCCACTCATTTATCAATTATTAAAGTTGATTTGACAATTATTTCTATTTTGTATTTTCATTTTCATTCAAAATACTCCTTAAAAAAACATAACATTTTTGTTATGATATGTGTTTATTTATAATTAGAAATACTTTGTTAAAAAAAAATGTTACATAATCGACTAACAAAATGGCTTCTTAAAAGGATCTTTATTTTATTTTAGTGTTCACCGTTACCTTCTCTTTTTAGCAACAAATAAAAAAGATACTATCAAATTACAAAAACCCTAAGTATTACACTGTTTTTCTTCCCTACATTACACCATCACAATATAATTAACACAACAAAAACACGGGCCAAATAGATCTAATTTATTATTATTACTTTTTTTTTTTTTTTTTTTTTTTTGCAAAGGCCAAAGGCCAAGTCATAAATGGCCGTGCAAACCAACAAAGTCAGATACAAGCATACAAATTATGAAGCAATACAAGAAAAATGAATAACAGATTCAGATTTGTTGAAAAAGAGCCCCAGCTCAATAACGAAAACCACAAAAGTAGAATAGTAGCAAAGGGAGTGATTCAATGGTCAGACTATCATCAAGGCAATAGCTCCAAAGCTATATCCACAAGGAGCCTCCGACAGAAAAAAAAAAACCACCCAAATCCTACACAAGATAAAATCAAGTCGGGGATAACAAAAACCAATATAGATAAGAGATATAGTCAGATAGAAAACAACATATCCACCATTTAAGCCGAAAACAAGTCAAACGGGAACATATCTAATAAAACAAAAGCAAAAATGACGTAAAAATCACCCACATAGTGAATTTATTGTTACGTGCCGAGTTTAGGTAAGAAATGACACCTTCCCCCTCTTATGGAAGGGAGTAGGGAGAAAAATAGATGGGGAAGACGAAGTTGAAGGCGGCAGAAGAGGTTGCGAGAGAAGAGAGAAAAAGTTATCTAATATTAAATTTAAATTCTTTCAATAATAAATTGATCTAACGTACACAAAACTATTGTCATTTATCAAAATAAGTTTGTCCTAATGAATATTATGTCCAATGATATGATAGAGAAGAGGAGGCTGAGTGTTTAATAATTTCATGTGAATTTACTTGAATATTTTTATTTGTTTAATAAAAAAAAGTCAATACACCAATTGGAGAATTTAAATATATATATATATATATATATATATATATATATTTATCAAGAATTTTAAATAATTTGTGACAGTGAAATCTGAGTGCCCACGGGATAGGATTTTGATTACCCCTAGTAAAAATCTGAAAGTCAAGCCACTAATCCACCAAAGTCCACCACAAATCATCAAAATGAAGGAAACAGACAACTCAACCAATAATATATCCATTCCACCTGGTGGTCTTCTCTCCATTGAATTCATGATAGTGAGAGAAACGATTACTGAACTCATCATACTCTTCTTCTCTTCTCTCCTCTCCATTACAGAAACAGAAACAGAGACATTATAGAATTCACAAAGAGGACAACAAAATACCAAAAATTCTCAAACATCCACATGGGCTCCATGTCTATGAGATTCATCACCCACCAATCCTTCCTCTCCACCGTCCGATCCGGCGACCTCGAATCTGTGAAAACCATCATCGAGAATGAAGGGGATGATCAAGCTTCGGTCTCCGCTCTAATGGTGTTGCAGAATGATGAGGGTAAAACTGCTCTGCACTTGGCCGCAGAGAATAACTTCCAAGAGATTTTCAGCTACTTGCTCAAATTCTGTGATCTACAGAGCCTCATGATCAGGTCCAAGTCTGATATGGATCCGTTTCATGTTGCAGCTCAAAAGGGTCACTTGGGTATGTACTCTTATTTCTCACTCTACTTCAATAATAGCTTATATAATTATATATATATATATATATATAATTATGTTTGGGCGCATCAGGATCATTTCCTAATAAGAACAATGATTATTCCCAATAGAAAAAGAAAATGATGAGTATTTATTGGGTACACCCATGGTACACAATAAGCTTTCCCTCTTGGATCCTCACACTATTGTATGTATAAGTATTGGTTTTCGGGCGGATTTTGAATTTGGAGTGTGTTAAACTACATGATTGAAATTTGTGTTGTGTGATTGACCCAATTTATGAATAATATGGACCATAAGGTAATTTAGCATCATATATGTTCTTGAATTCTACATGGGCTTAGAATATCAATATTGCAATATGTAATTGATTAATGGTTAACCTTTGAAGGAGAAATTAATTCATGTAATTTGCATGGTAATGTTGAGGCCCCCAAGTCATCGTCTAAGGGCAGAGGTTTTTGGGTTAAAAATAATGGAATATCACTTAAATGAAATAAATTTCAAACAAGTAAAACCGAGGGCTTAGCCCCAGCGCTCTTCCTCCTTCCAAATAGAAGGACGAGGGTTCTAGTCTTCAATGGGACAGTATTGAGAGAATTTGTGACTTATGTACCCAAAATAAAGAACGAAAATTGTATTTCACAACCCCTCAATAGGGTTCAATCAAATCTTTGCTTGATTTCAAAGTACTTTGTGATGTATATCTATCAAAGTTTTAGGGGTTTATACAATGATGGTGGGAGATTGGGAAGAATTTCTTTTATAGTCCACTTTGATCGAGGGAGTTAGAAGGAAAAGAAAGAAAAACAAAAGGGTGGAAATGATAATGGAATTAGTAGTTACCCATTTTGTTAGCTCTGTTTTTGAATTGACATAATAAATTAAAAAATGAGGGGTTGTTACTATCATTCATTTTCTTTTACTTCCCTACTTTTCCAAACACGAGTAGTGTTGAACTAATCTTTCGATTCTTTCTGTTCTCTTCTTGCTAGTCTCTCCTTTCCTATCCCTCATGGCTTCTCAAATGACTGTTAAAGTGTGTGATTCATGCATATGTACACCATTAAGGGTGTGTTCGGTGGCTGCATGGAATTGGTGCCTTGGAATTGGAATTGGAATTGGAGAAAATTTTGGCCTTGGAATTGGAATTGGAATTGGAGAAAATTTTGGTTCAATTTTATGAGTTGTTTTCTCCAATTCCACCTATTTCAATTCCAAAGCTCCAATTTCATGCCTGGCAAACATAGCCTAACTGCATTTGGGCAGTTTTTGCCTATTCACCTTAGTATACTATTTTGATGGTTGTTGTGTTTCTAATTTTCTTATGGTTAATGTATATAGGGATTGTGAAGGAACTTTTGGGGTTGTGGCCTGAGCTTTGTAGGTCATGCAACTCTTCGAACACAAGCCCCCTTTATTCAGCTGCCATGCAGGACCACTTGGACGTAGTGAATGCCATATTAGATGCAGATGCCAGCTCGATAAAGATAGTGAGGAAAAATGGAAAAACTTCGTTGCACATGACCGCGAGACATGGCTACCTTCAAGTGGTAAAAGCACTTATAGAGAGAGATCCGGGAATTGTTCCCATCAAAGACAAGAAGGGCCAAACTGCACTCCATATGGCTGTAAAAGGTAAGGATACTTCAGTAGTAGAGGAAATTTTGCACGCCGATTGCTCAATACTGAATGAACGTGACAAAAAGGGCAATACAGCTCTGCATATGGCCACAAGGAAAGGTCGTTCGCAGGTATCTTTTGATTGATGTTATTTATAAGATGGAACTACATAATCATACCTATTCTCTTATGATCTCATTTTTCATTGTTTCTGCTTTTGTTTTCGATTTTCCTAGACGCTTTTCTGTTGCATTACTCCTAGGGTGTTACTTTTTATCCTCGTCTCATTTGAGGATTTCTGTAAATTTCAATTAGGATTTCACTCTAGTTTCATATATTCATAAACAGAAGCATCATATAAAATAATATAAAGAAAATATTTTAAACAACATAATAAGCAAATTAAATTGAGAGATTTAAGAAACTCTTGCCTAAAATGGATAGACACGCAGTGCTGAAAACCTTTGTAGCCTCCCTACATGCAGGTTTTGACATACTACAAAAGGCTTCTGGATACAACTTGGAAGTCCTCAATGAGCGTGTTCACGTAAGAACAATCACCAAGTCGTAGTGATGCCATGTTGCCCAAAATTCGAATATAAAATTGAAAATATAAACATAATATTTAGGTTGCAGGGAAGGAGCACAAGAACAACTTAAACAGTGTTTCTAATCTGTTGAATTAGGCAGATATTTATAGGCTATCTCACGCCTGTAGCCAAAAGACGACTATAATTTATAAGTACCTATTCAAATCAACCGTTATGTAAACTAGGGAGTTTTAAAACAATATATGATATATACCTAACAGTCATGGTCTTTATATCTTCAGAAATATCACAAGAAATAGGCTAAAGAACATGTGGTGGACTTGAGGTAGTTCATTTGGTTGTGAGTTTGGATACATGGTGATCTACTCATACCGCTGAAGAGACATTGTAGTAACATATTCCAAAATAAGAGACAAAAGACATGATTGTTATTTGCGATGAATAAGAGAAATAAGGAATATAAGAAAATAGACCACATGGTTGTCATTTGAGAAGACAAGGAGTAGCATAATCATCTCCTCATCCTATTTCATATATCAGGGTTCTCACAGAAAAACCTTGATGATAACAAATGTTACGGATTTTCTTCACATCACTTCCCCTTATAAATAGAGGCACTAACTTATCATTTAATTCAAGCATCTTTTGGTTGTTTTCCAATTTCACAGAGATGATGACACTTTAATTATTTTTTACTTTTCTGGGATAAAATATTCCTCAATTCCTGCATATACATATATAATTTTCTGTAAGTTCAGTGGAATCCAAGTCGAAGTAGAAAACCCCCCATGTTCTGAGAGAGCTTTTATTTATGGAACTTCATATAAATGGTCCATGGTATTAAATTCAGCTACATTGCTAATTTGAGCTTTTGTAGACGATTTCAGTCTTTCGTGCAATAAGGTTTTTCTCATTCACATCAAGTAACATCTTGATAGTACTACTTGGACATAACAGAAACAAAAATAGAGAAACCAAGAAACTTTATAAATCTGAAATTACAGAGAAATGAATGAGTAAAACAATTTAACTAGAATATTCTACATAAAACAATATTTGTCCCCAAATAGCTTGCTGAACCAACCGGAAGAGTGAGCATTTCCCGGTTTTCTTCAAACTGTTGGTCCAGTTTGGTTTTGGAAGCACTGTGATGGTCTCTGAAACTTAAATCTGTATAAATTCCTTTGAATTTCATTTCTTTGGCAAATTTCATTATGTACTATATAAGTAGACCATCTCATTCACAAAAATGGACTTTTACCAAAGAAAAATGTAGTGTATTATATGCTTAGGAGTGAATCAAAAATTGTTGCTTCATTTATCCTTTGCCTTTGTTCCATGGAGACCCCTCTTTTCTTGTTTAGAGATCTTGTTGGTGCTTCCACCACTAACGAGAGAGACTTGGGTCAAACTGTGGAGTAGAAAGAAAAGAAATTCAGAAATATTGTAACTGAGAGGAACTTTATAAGTAATTAAAACAAATTTTGAAAGAATATGGTGACTGAAAAGGTGTTGTATTGTTGGCTTGTCGGCCCTTTATTAGTGAATGGATTTTGGAAGTATCACCATATGAAGTCCCTGCTATTCTAACCAGAGGTATCTTAAGTTTTTTCTGTTGATTCTAGTCAGTATCAAAGAAGGCTCACTTGATACCAGTGATACGACAGTCTTGGCGTATACACTTTGATATGAAATATTAATAACCCTTCCTGGCCCCCGGACAAAAAAAAAAATGGTAATTTTTTTCAAAATTAGTTACATATAATATCATAGTGAATCATCTTCTGAGTTGGTTTAGTTCTCACAAATATCATATTATAAATTTTGGTTTGGCAAAATTGAAATGATTGTACATATTTGACACTCAGGGCTTTTACATGCTCAGGATCAGATATAAGTGCACTACGCGCACAGATATGCATCTATTATATTCTTCCACTGTTGGTGGCACTCGCAATTTGTTTCCCTCCATAATTGTTGTGAGGAATTTGATTCCCTTACATATAGTGAGCCTTTTTCTTTCAGATAGTGAGCCTTCTGCTGAGCTTTACATCCGTTGATGTCAATGCCATTAATAATCAGTTTGAAACAGCAATGGATTTAGCTGATAAACTCCAGTATGGAGAACCGGCATTGGAAATTAAGGAAGCTCTAGCGGAGGTTGGTGCCAAGCATGCTAGGCATGTTGGCCGAGTGGATGAAACAATGGAACTCAAAAGGACAGTGAGTGATATAAAGCATGAAGTGCACTCTCAACTCATTCAAAACGAGAAAACCAACAGACGAGTTTCTGGGATCGCTAAAGAACTCAAGAAAATTCACAGGGAAGCTGTCCAAAATACCGTTAATTCCGTGACGGTTGTTGCTGTTTTATTTGCCTCCATAGCTTTCTTGGCTATATTCAACTTGCCTGGCCAGTATCTAATGGATGGATCATCTGAAACCGGGAAGGCTTACATAGCTGGCACTGCTGCATTCCGAGTGTTCTGCCTCTTGAACGCGACATCCCTCTTCATATCTTTAGCTGTCGTCGTGGTTCAGATCACTCTGGTTGCTTGGGACACAAAGGCACAAAAAAAGGTGGTTTCGGTAATCAACAAGCTAATGTGGGTTGCCTGCATCAGCACTTTAGGAGCTTTCCTGTCGATTGCATTTGCAGTCGTGGGAAAACGAAGCTTGTGGATGGCCATTACTATTACCGCAGTGGGAACACCAATTCTTTTGGGGACTCTTGCTTACTTGTGTTACTTTGTTTTCCGGCAACATTTTGGGATGTTCGGCAATGATTCTCAAAGACGCATAAGAAGAGCAAGTGGAAGCAAATCTTTCTCATGGACTTACTCTGCTAATATCTCGGACCTCGAGGACTATCAGTCTGACTATGAGAAGATATATGCACTGTGACATTATATCACAACAATCAACATGCAGATAAGAGTATGGGAAAAGCATTATTAAACTGTATTAGTCCATAAAGGCAGCACAAGTTGCTCCCCCGGGCTTCAGCATTATGCAGGTGTTTTTGTTTTGATGTTGTTGAAAGCATATTTGGTTTCTTGTGATCTTCATAAGAAACGCAGATTAAAAGATGTAGATTTTTTGTATTATACATTATTATGTAAACATGTTGCAAGAAATAGGGTTCTTGTATATGCGTATGTAAACATGTCACTTTGTAGGTTTTAGTTGATGACTTGCTCGGCACTTGGTATCACTGGAACCTGATTCAATGGAGTTGATTACAAATTTAGCCACTTTTAGTTCCAAATGCTTGTAACCTAGTGGTATCTCCCCTATCGCTCAAAGTGAAAGCTTAGCGTTCTTTTATGAACAAATGGGCGTGTCATGTGGGAGCAAAATCGTCCCTTGTCAAACAGGAAACCTGTTTAGGCCGGTGGCTACTGTTGCACCGGTAAAATGGGGTAAAAAAATTGCTGGGGTAAAAATTTGAATTCTGGAAATATATGAAATTATATAGAAGTTTTACATATATACGGTGGCCCATTATATGTAGACGTCATCCTCCAAATTCAGACTTTTAGAAGAATATTGAAAATCAGACTTTTAGAAGAATATTTTCTTATTCACGAATCAATAATCTATACAGGTACATATATAGTAATCGGATCATTAGTATAGGTCCTACAATCAAGCTATATCTCTAAAGAATCTGTCCACACCTAATGTACAACTATAATATCTCTAAAATAGGAAAGAATCGCAAGAATAATATTTACAAAAATGGTTGACCATTAACTCAATAGCTCAACACTCTACCTCAAGTTGGTGTATAGATGTCACACATGCCCAACTTGTCTAAAACTATGAGAACACTCGACTTGAAACCGCTTTGGTGAGGATATCGGTCAACTAATCCTTTGATAGAATTTTAGGCAACTCCACAATTTTCTTGACCAACTTCTCCTTAATGACGAATCTGTCTACCTCCACATGCTTTGTACGATCATGTTGAACCAGATTATGAGCAATATCACATACTGCTTTATTGTCACAATATAGTCAAATCGGTTGCCTAGGCGGATAGCCGAAATCCCTCAAGAGAAGTCTTCGCCATAATGTTTCACATACTCCAAGTGCCATACCTCTAAATTCAGTTTCTACACTTGAACGTGCAACAACATTCTGTTTTTTGCTTCTCTATGTAACGAGATTACCACCTACAAAGGTGAAATATCCTGAAGTAGACCGCATGTCATCTACTGCTCTAGCCCAGTTAACGTCAATATATGCATCCACGCATTGACAATCTATATATTTAGTGAATAAAATTCCCTTTCCAGGACCAGACTTCAGATACCTCCAAATACGCATAACTGCATTCATATGTTGCTCTCCAGGATTATGCATAAATTGGCTAACAATACTCAATGCATAGGCAAGGTCCGGCCTAATGTGTGCTAAGTACATCAATCTTCCTACTAGTCCCTGATATCTTCTTTTATCAACCGACCCCTGATTAGACTCAACACATAACTTCAATCCTTCTTCTACTGGTGTATGAGCTAGTTAACATGCCGACATACTAGTTTCTTGTAACAAATCTAAGGCATATTTTCTTTGAGATGGAAAGATTCCTTTATCAGAATGAGATACTTCGATCCCAAGAAAAAATTTCAAGTGACCGAAGTCTTTCGTTTCGAATTCTCTAGACAAGTAACTCTGTAGAGCTTTCCTTTCTTTAGGATCATTTCCTGTAACCACCATGTCATCCATATACACAATAAGTGTAGTGATCTTACCATGTTGTTTCTTCAAGAATAAAGTGTAGTCTGAATTACTCTAATGGTAGCCAAAGGTTCTCATAGACATTGTGAACCTTTCGAACCACACTCTTGGAGATTATTTCAACCCATACAGGGACTTCTTTAATCTGCACACCTTCCGACTATGAACTTCTGATATCATGCGTTCTGGTGGGAGATCCATATAGACTTCTTCGAACAATTCACCATGTAAAAAGGCGTTCTTCACATCAAACTGTTGTAATAGCCAATTCAGGTTCGCTGCTAGATACAATAAGACTCAAATTGTGTTGATTTTTGCTACAGGTGCAAATGTCTCCGTATAATCAATCCGATAGGTTTGGGTGTACCCTTTTGCCACCAATATCGCTTTAAACCGTTCAATTGTACCATTTGCTTTGTACTTTACAGTATAAACCTATCGACATCCAACTGGTTTTTTTCCTGGTGGACGGTCAACAAGTTCCCAGATTTAAAATTTCTGCAAGGATTTCATCTCCTCATTTATAGCAGCTCTCCACCTTGGGTCAGCTAAGGATTCCTGCACACTGTTAGGAATAGATACAGTGGATAATTGATTTATAAATGACTGATTTGATTATGACAAACGATGGCTAGACACATAATGACTCATGGGATATTTAACTTTACTAGAAAGTTCAGGTTCATATGTGGATACCTTTGGTGTGACGCGGTGGGAGTTGTTTTCTAAATGGTTCAGACACTAAATCAGGAATATCCTCAGCAAGCGATTGATTTGGAGTATCAGTTGCCTATGGTGCGAGGGATTACAACAGAGGTGGAGCCATAAGTTCAGTTTCTGGATGTTCATTACCACCTTGGTCCAAAGTTATACCACTCAAATCTAATTCACCCACCTCTTGATTGACCGGTCCAGTTTGCGAGTGATCATTACCACTCATATCCAAGTTACCCGCATCCTGGTTACCAGGTTCAGAGAGTTCCCTTTCTTCAGAGATGTGAACATCATAGTCTAGAGTCTGAACTTCCTCCTGGTACTTCCCTTGAAGTTCAGGCTCAGAGGAAAAATATATTGAGTCTTCATGAAAAACTACATCCAATGTAACAAACATTCGTTGGGTTGGGGGATTATAGCATCGGTACCCCTTTTGATAAGTAGCATACCCTAGAAAGACACATCGCAACGTTCGAGTCAATTTGTTGTGTTGATGCTTATGGAGATGTATGAATGCTGCATAACCAAAGACACGAGGAAGTAAGTTTGGGACTGCTGGGGCAACAACCACTTCAATGAGATCCTGAGATGGTGCCCGAAAATCAATAGTGCTAGAAGGTACCTGTGATACCCTCGGATTTCCGAATGTGGGTTGGCCAGGCCCATGCCCGAACACCAGGGGATATAAAAAACAATACGGTAATAAACGAACATATAGTACAAGATGATAAATAATGAATAAATAAAATACTGAAAAGAATACTATAATAATGATTAAATCCTCAAAGTAAATTTCATTAAATAATAAATTCATCCGATATAATAATGCTCCAAAAAAAAATACAACTCGGGAATTCATAACATATGGACCCCTAACAATCCCAAACTAGAATAAACAACTGTCTACATAAGAATACTGAAAACATATACTAGAATCCTATGTAAATAACTGGAAGAGTGATGATAACTGGTCTCTGCTTTGCACGAACCATATTTACACCTGATAAACCTATGGACCTGAAAAATAAATAGTGGGTTAGGCCCACAAACAAGTTTTTTCTACGACAACTATAATACCCCTAATTTTAAAAGGATAGTTCTGGAATTTATTTAATTGTTGAATTTCATTTTAATTTATTAATTGTGCATTATTTAAATTACTTGTGTTATGTGGTTGTTTATTTAATTATTTTATTTAATTGTGTATTTAATTAAATGATTTTGTTTTTATGTTATTTGATTAATTATTTGAATCTCATGTTTATTTAATTGGATTTTATTTATTTTAGTTGTTTATTAAATTAGATTTTATTTTATTTTAATGGTTAAAGGTGTAATTTATTAAATTAAGTTTTTTGTATTTTTAGAATTCACGTATGTAGCCGACATATATCTAACATGGGTTGGTCTATGGGCCGAGTAAGTCAGTTTAGGGTTTAATTGAATCTAGGATTAGTTTGGCCTATAAATATACGTATAAGGTTCTGCCAAGGGTTTTTAGAACCCTACTCACGACTGTGGAGGCAGAGAATGAACATAGGAGAATTACAGTAAGGATTGCCGGAAACCTTAGGAAGACGGCGCTAAGATTTTGAACCAAAGTCTTACAGGCTAGGTCTAATCCTAACTCTTTCCCTTTGCTCGTGTTCTTTATATTCTTAACACAACTTTAGGAGTAAAGAAATATAAACATTAATCTGGTTTGCATGTCTGAGGTAATTAAATCAATATGTGTTTCATGTAGCGTAAACTTGGTTGTTTTGAATTTTTCTTGCTTAATTCATGATTTAAATTGACGATGAATTATTGAATAAGGAACTGAATTAAGTCTGGAACACATTGGGAAAACATTAAAATAAGTCTGGGTTTCATGGTTGATTTGTTTAAACAGTAAACGTTGATGAACTGTAAGTTGCTTGTTTTAAATCCTTATTGCATAGTTCGGGTTGCAATTGTTGTCTATTATTAAACAAAGGGTTTAATTATTTCTGGAACACTTTGGAGTTTAGTTCAGATCTTAGGAACCCTAGGTAAGGAGGACAGTTCATCGGGAAGACGCCGGACTCAAGGAAAGTGAAGAAGACGACATCACCAACCGAGCCGACTAAGTTGGAAACTTAGCTTGCTCAGTTGGGAACTTATCTTGCTCAGTTGGGAATTTAGCCTGCTTCTTTGTTTTCTTTATTTTTTATTTTTATTTTTCTGCTATTTCCAACGAGGTTGGGCTACTGTGAATGGATTTTTGGGTTTTTAGACTTAAGTTAGAGACTGTGATGGTAGGTTTTGGATGGTTTAGAAGTATGGTTTAAAACATAAAGGTGTACCCAGTTCTAGATTGTTAGAAATTTGAATAACAGGAATTTCTTAACAACTTACCTATACTGAATTTGGCTATGGATGTTTAAATTGCTGGGACTTAATTTAGCAATTTTCTATCAAGGATTATATGTCTCTAATTAGGTATCAATGATGTAAAATATGCATGTCAAATTATATATTTTTGTCATGTTTAGTGAGGATTAATTGATGTGTATCTTTTTATCATTTATAGCATCAATTAATGGGTTGGTATAGTATGAGCATGATAGATTGTCTATTTGTATTATGCTTGTCATAAAATTAATTGATGTATCTCATTATTTAGATTTATCAGTTACTGGAGTAAGCATGTTAGTTTATATTTCTATGTATGCTTCTTGTGGTTCAGTTTGATGTATGCTTCTTGTGGTTCAGTTTGCTATACGCATTGACTAG